TCTTGAAAATTTTCTAGAAAAGAAATTTCTTTGCCCTTCTTCAGTAATAATCACTTGTAATTCCCCCCATACCTATCATATTGTCACATTATTTTATTTGTACTAGCTATTAAGATAAATTATAAATATAATGAGACAAAATTCATTTTGAGTCAGTGATGGTAAAACTAAAGGGTAAAACCATATATAATTTGTATGTGTCTTTACAGACCATAGAGACCTATCTCTCAAGTTGCAGGATTTATTTTATTCCAGAATTATTATTTTTATGGCTATTTTAAACTTCACTGAATTTTGTAATCTAGCCTTAAATCATGATTTGTAAAATCAATCTTCAGGTAAATATCTCTATAGAATATTTTTTAGTATGAATTGTAGAATATCAGAAAGAACATTACAACACAGCTTCAACTTTTTGGTTCTGTTGGTCACTGTTGACTTTGAATAAATGACAGAAACTATGAGAACATTTCTCCATCATTAAAGTGGGTACAACCATGCTAATTTTCCTCCATTGCCTATACAAACTCAAATGAAAAGGAGTCACGTTTTTAGAAGAAAATGCTATTTAAAATGTTACATTGGTGGTGGTAGAATTAAGATGATATTTTACATCAAAACTGGGCAAACTGAATGAAAGTTTATCTTCTAGTTTGCCCTCTATTTCGTTTTGTCCTGAATAAGATTTCTGAGTTAATAGATAAAGAGGTCAGGCCGGGCGCGGTGGCTCACGCCTGTAATCCCAGCACTTTGGGATGCCGAGGCGGGTGGATCACGAGGTCAAGAGATCAAGACCATCCTGGTCAACATGGTGAAACCCCGTCTCTACTAAAACTACAAAAAATTAGCTGGGCATGGTGGCGCGTGCCTGTAATCCCAGCTACTCAGGAGGCTGAGGCAGGAGAATTGCCTGAACCCAGGAGGCGGAGGTTGCGGTGAGCCGAGATCGCGCCATTGCACTCCAGCCTGGGTAACAAGAGTGAAACTCCGTCTCAAAAAAAAAAAAGAGGTCATTTGGGGAAGTTAGAGCTCTCAGACCTTGCATTTGTAAGGCTCTTTGGCTGAAAGGTGACCCTGGTTTCTTACCAATTCTGCCTGGACAGCTAAGGTTTTGCTAGGTAGTTTGAGACTATGGCCCAATCCTTGAAGGAGTCAGGTAGTGAAAAATTTCTAACAAAAGAAAAGGACTTTATCTCATATGAAAAAGTGTCAGCCCTTCTGTAATTCATTTGGAGAAAAAAGCCCACACCATAAAGAACAGGTTTCCCATTTTTGCTACTAATGGAAATTGTCCCTCTTGACTAGAGCAATGTAGAGAACAGTGGCTGTCAGCTCTAGTGCCACATCACTCCGGGAGCTTAAAAAAAATCCTATGACCAGGCCCCACTCCAGACCCACAAATCAGATTATGGCTATTAAATAGTGATTCCAGGAAGGGAAACCATCCCCTTCCTGGGGATGGCTCAGGCATCAGCACTCCTCAGCATATGTTATTGTGTTTCTGAGGTTGAGAACCATTGATCTAGAGACTGTAATAGAGAATAACTTGGCAAAATGCTTACACAACAGAAACGCTTTTAAACATCCATTACTTTGTTTTTATTTGTATTATCTTACTTTTCCAAAAGAGATATGTAATTTGAAGACAAACAAAAAATACGATAAGAAAGAAGTGCTCAAAATCTTGTCAGCTAGCCATGGTCCTCCCTGGGACAAGCCTAACTTTTGTGTACCACTGTGAAGGTAGGGATCTTTCCTTCCAGCCAATTTATTATGCTATTTAAAAAACATGAAAATGAACATAAGATTCATCTGAACCATCTCAGATATGCTGAATTTCTTATAGACACAAAATGGTAAAAATAGTCTTCCCAATTTGAACATGAGTCTTCTTAATGATTATAGGTCATCAGAAATTGGTGTTTTCTCTATTCTCTCTGAAATGATAAAAAGACGAAGAAACTCCAGACCTCAAAACATTCAAAAAATTTAATAAAATTATTTGGATATGCACACCAGTGAAAACACATTCAGAAGCTATCAGTTATAGAATCAAAATGCTCAATTTCATTGTGTGCTGCAAAAAAGATTCACCTGGGAGATAGACATGGATTCTGGACTTCAGTTGGCCATGGCTAGCTGGGACCTTAAAACTTTCTTTAACAGTAATTCAACTTTCATTTTCCCACTTAAAATTGCATCTATGACTCTGGCAAGCCAGATATCTGATCTGCTACTTCTACAATCCTTATCCACTTCTCAAATGAACCCTGCTGCAGAGACAAGTTCCAATTAGCTATAGACCTGCTTTAGAAATATTCCAACCACAGGTCATAATTTTTGCTGGGTGAGTAGAAAAGAATGTTGATGTCACTTACTATCAATTGCATTTGTCCCCTTTTATGAGGAAGATAATGCAGACATTGGATTAAATTTCAAGGCTGTCTTGAAAAGACACATTACACAGAGAACTGGGAAATATTCTTTTCACTGATTATGTTACAGACAGTAATGTTTAACATGGCACATAAATCAGCAAAGTAAATGAGCAAGAGTCTGATATATTTTTAAAGGAACTTTGCAATATACTTATACATATAGTTGGTGTTCAACAAATGTTAGTTAAATGGTGAATGAATTTCAAAGGTTCCAAAGCAATTTCTCAGTCTCAAATGCTAACTTGAAGAGGTTCTGAAGATCTAAGTTTTCAGATCATAAAACATGTTTTTTAATTAAATCAGGTTTTCTTAAATGGTTAAAATTTGAATAGAGTAAAATTGGAAAAACTAATTATTGGACAGGAATGGCAATTCTGAATTAGATAGTGCTTAAGCTACTATACTTATGATTTTGAAAAGTAAAATAGTTATACAAGCTTTGAAACATACTTAATCTGTTTTATTAAAACCATAATCTAAATGAACAACTCAATGGTAAATTTTTCTTATGGGGTGTACATCTAGTATTATGGTTATATCAGTGATGATAAACTTGGTGGCTATGAAGCACAGTTGTGTTAAGATTGAAGTGAAAGTCATATGAATATTCTGACATGATCATTTATTTAAATTAATGCTTTCTAAAAGAAATTAATTTGGTCAAGTGATCATTTAGTTCCTCTAGATTAAGTAATTATAGATGAGGAACCACTTGGGAATAGGGAGAATTAGGAAGCTTTTTGTTTTCCTAGCTCCTCTTATTTAAAATTAAATATAAAGAAGATGATTGTATTTAAGTGCATTTTGCCTTTAATAATTGTAGAGAAAGTAACTCTGACTGATCCTTCTGCTGAGTACAATTTGAAAATGAGCCAACAAACAAATTAAGCAAAGCTTTCTGCTTAAAGATCCCAGAGAGCTAACAAGATAGTGAACAATCCCAAGGCCAGAATCTAGAGATGGGGCAAGGCTTAGAGAGATGATTCTGCAGTTGGGCATGTAATTCTTTTTTCTTTTTTTTTTGAGACAGAATCATTCTGTTGCCCAGGTTGGAGTACAGTGGTGTGATCTTGGTTCACTGCAACCTCCACCTCTCATGTTCAGGGAGTCTCAGCCTCCCAAGTAGTGGGGATATGGGATTACAGGTGTGCACCACCATGCCCAGCTTATTTTTCTATTTTTAGTAGAGATAGGGTTTTGCTATGTTGGCCAGGCTGGTCTCAAACCCCTGATCTCAAATGATCCACCCACCTTAGCCTCCCAAAGTACTGGGATTATACATAGTGTGTAATTGTCCTGATGCCCCATGAAGCTAAAGCAACAGGGATTGGTGTCCAGAGCCCACCGAGGTTGGGAAAGAGTTCTAGTAGTTCCTTTTCCCACTTTGAGTTGGGACCATGAAGGATTGCACTCTAGAAGCATGGAAAGGCAAATGAGAAGTTGACCCCTGCAGGTGATCCAGAGTGCTAGTATCCCCAGGCAGCAGCTAAGGAAAATTAAATATCTTCTGGAGAATCATAATATCATCATTTAAGGCCTCTAGTTACTTCTACAAGGAATTTTGCAAATACAATATTCAGGGCATACTAAAAAAAAAAAAAATCCAGATAGGAGGCATGAGTGAAAACTGACAAAAATAGCACAATGGAAATAGATTCACAAGGACTTCAGAGATTGACATTACCAGATGTGTGTGTATATATATATATATATATATATATATATATTGTTTGTTTGTTTTTGTTTGTTTGTTTTGAAATGGAGTCTTGCTTTGTCGGCAGGCTAGAGTGCAGTGGCAAGATCTCAGTTCACTGCAACCTCTGCCTCCCGGTTCAAGCAATTCCCCTGCCTCAGCCTCCCAAGTAGCTGGGACTACAGGTATGTGCCACCACGCCTGGCTAATTTTTTTGTATTTTTAGTAGAGACGGAGTTTCACCATGTCGGCCAGGATGGTCTCGATCTCCTGACCTCATGATCCGCCTGCCTCGGTCTCCCAAAGTGCTGGGATTATAGGCGTGACCCACCGTGTCCGGCATAGAATTTTAAATAAATGTACTTTGGTGAAGATAGCAAAGGATGAGATTGAGAATTTTGTCAGATGTGGAAACTATGAATAAAAAATCAAACAAAATCTGGTAGAGAAAATTTAATGACAGAAATAGGAAGATCTAAGTAGTTGGGTTTAAAAGCAGATAGACACAACTGGTGAGGGAATTAGGAACAGCCAGATGGGTTAAAGAAAATATCCAGAAGGAAATATGGAGATACAAAAAGGATGGAAAATGAGAATTGGGGTGAAAACCATGAGGATGAAGTGAAAAGCTCTACCTTATGAGTAATTATAGTTCCATAAAAAGAGGAGAAAGAGGATGGGGTGGAAGCAAAACTTAAATAAATTAGAGAGAAGAATTCTCCATAACTAATGCAATAACTAGAAATCTTGATTTGTAGGCCTGCCTGTGGCTTGAGGGAAAGGCCGGGAGGAGGGGGACCTGGTACCAGGAGATGCGGATCCCGCCTGGGGCGGGGGTTGTTCTAACAGCAGATCCATTTTCTCAGGGTCTATCACCGCTAGAAGAGGCTGGTGGACGACGGTGGCTCTGGCGACACGTCGACCTAACGCTCTGCGCGATGCGACTTAGTGATGTGGCACCTCCTTGGCCGGTACATGGTATCCCGGTTCCATTCCCCGCGGATGGGCGGCTACCTGTTCTCTGGCTCCAGGGCCCCCCAACCCCGTTGTCCGCTGTCCTGATGACAGCCCTGGGCCAAAAGCCCCAACGTGAAGCGCCTCTGCCTACATGTGGCCGACCTGAGCATGGTGCCCATCACCAGCCTGCCCAGTGCCCTGAGGACCTGGAGCTGCACAGCTGCGAGATCTCCATCGCCTGGCTCCTCAGGCAGCCAGAACCCACAGTGCTGCCCCTGCTCTAATGCACCATGCTGGACTGCTTTCCTGCCTTCCTGCCTTCTGCCAGGAGCACCTGCAGGGCCTGTCACACTTCCACGCCCTGCGCTCTCTGGTGGGCACCTACCCCGTGACAGAGCCGTGGGATCTGATGCTATCTCCAGGTAGATGGTGTCACAACTTAATTGCAGGACACCCAGCTGGTGTCCACTGGTTGGTGTGTAGGGAAAACTCCCACACATTTGGTCACAGAAGCCTTCTTCTGTGTTGCTGCTGTGCTGGTGTGAGAGCAGAGGAAAAACGCGGTTTGAGTTTTCCCCTACACAGCAGCAAATAACGAAATAGAGACATTGATAAATATTATTTTCTGAGGTACTTTTGAAATCTGAAAAGTCTTAAATCTTTAAATTTATTTTAAGATGTCTCTTGCATATCACTCAGTTAAATTCTTTTTAAGTTTAGGATAACTTAGAACGTTCTTTTGATAGGATAGATGCTAAAATTAATGCTAGACATATTCTGAATTTTTCTGACTAGAATCATAATTTAAATTGATTTGTCTTGTGTTAGTTATTACAATTAAATCTAGTACAGTTGGTTCTTTTTTTTTTATGGGCCTACTAGGCAGAGATTTTGCAGAAACATATATTCTTAAGAACTATCTGTGTTTTATTTTTAAGTTCTGGAGTACATGTGCAGGATGTGCAGGTTTGTTACATAGGTAAACATGTGCCATGGTAGTTTCTTGCACCTATCAACCCATCACCTAGGTATTAAGCCCAGCATGTATTAGCTATTTTTTCCTAATGTTCTCCTTCTCCCCACTCCCCACTCTCTCTTCTTCCCACGGGCCCCAAGAGAACTATATCTTAATAAGTTAACTCCAAATGGCCAGATAAATTAATCTGGCAAGCTGAGTATTTTATGACCACTACCAAAAAAACAAAACAAAACAAAATAAAAAAAAAACAACCCAGAAAACCACATTTGTAATGTGGTTGTAATTGGTGCTGAATGACTCCTTTGGGCAGTAATAAGCCACTGAGACCAACTGTTGCTTACGGCCTCTTGTAGGCTAAGTAACATCTCTGGGCCAGCCTTTCCCTTAGTGTATTTTGGTTGCAGGTAACAGAAACACAGTTAGTTAAACAATATCAGTGACATCACATCAACAAGTAGGAATTTATCATAAAGATTCAGAGAAGGAAAAGAACGTGGAAGAAGTTGCATGATGTTTGCAGTTGACAGACTGGTCTCTTTTTGGGCCTCCTCAAAATTGCTTAGGGGTGTGTATGTGTGTATGTGTGCATATCTGTCTTGAGAAGTTTGTTTTATAGGAGTGGAGGTTTAGACTATTGGGCATTAAAAATTAATGTGAAAAAAGGTTAAAAATAAAATATTTGATGTCTGACAAGGACTAAACTTCTTTGTTACGTTGCATATGAATCCACAAACAGCAGACTTTGGAAAAATTAGGTCTCACTAAATGGACTGGGTAGCTTTGATTGTTCCAATGTTGAGTGAAATCAGTTAATTTCCCTGTAACAGTGTTGTCTCTGCCTGAGTTACTTTGCTGATGGTTGTTTTTTTAAAAATTGAAACTTGCAGTAATACTTTTTAGTACATTTTCAAATTTTTCATATTATCTGGAGAGGTGATCCAAAGCCAGGCATGAAGGTCCTCTGCCTTTGTTTCCTCATCCTGCTGCCAGGAGCATGCATGCAGCCACCAGGAATATGACTGAGGAGTTCCTCCCCCACTGTCCCCACACACCGTTTGAAGCTTCATGGCACATGAGTGACAGATCTACAGTGAACGTGCTTCCAACACCACATGAGGGGTAAAACCTCCATTTCAAGTTGGGCAAAATATGATTCTGAATTGGTTTGTTCTTAGTTTTGTATTAGGCAGCTTAACTGATATTAAGAGTAACATTTCATCCCATCTTTTAATCTTGCTTTTTACATTTCCCTCTGGTATTTTTAGTCATGAACATTTTATTCTTGACACTAATGTAATAAATGAAATTGTAAATGTTCAAACATGAGAGAAATACAATTTATCAAATGAATGTGCCCCAAAATCCCATTGTAACAGATGCTGTTGGTACCCCCACCTGTAGATACTCACACTTATCAGTTCCATGCACACCGGTTTGAATTTCAACCATCCGCACCTGAGATGCTTTGCCTGCAGGCTTTCTTGGAGACCACCCCCCTACCTGTGTTTGGGTCAGCTGGAAGTGCTGGGGAATTAATATTCCCTTGGGGTCAGCCCTCAATGAATGACTGATAGAATCTGTGAGTACATACCTCAGCTTCCTTGCATCTTGTTTGGGGTAAGTGAAGATAGATAATGTTCTATACTCTCTCCTGCCATTCCCTAGTAGGATGAAGCTTCAGTTGCCTGCAGTATTAACTTTCTTGATAACACACCCTCTAATGCCTTCCTTCCCTTCCTTATCTCACTTTTACACTCTCCCATTGAGGTTTCTTTCTTTTAAAAAAATTTTTTTCTTTGGGATACACGTGCAGAAGGTACAGGTTTGTTACATAGGCATATGTGTGCCGTGGTAGTTTGCAGCATCTATTGACCCAGTTCTCTAAGTTCCCTCTTTCACCCCCCATCCCCCTACAGGCCCTGGTGTGTGTTGTTTCCCTCCCTGTGTCTATGTGTTCTCATTGTTCAAATCTCACTTCTGAGTGAGAACATGCAATGTTTGGTTTTCTGTTCCTGTGATAGTTGGCTGAGGATGATGGCTTCCAGTTTTATCCATGTCCCTGCAAAGGACATGATCTCATTTCTTTTTATGGCTGGTAGTATTGCATGGTATATATGTGCCACATTTTATTTATCCAGTCTGTCATTGATGGGCATTTGGGTTGGTTCCATGACTTTGCTATTGTAAATAATGCCACAATAAACATACATGTGTATATGTCTTTATAGTAGAATGACTTATAATCCTTTGGTTATATACCCAGTACTGGGATTACTGGGTCAAATGGTATTTCTGGTTCTAGATCCTTGAGAAATTGCCATACCGTCTTCCAAAATGATTGAACTACTTTACATTCCCAACAACAGTGTGAAATCGTTCCTATTTCTCCACAACCTTGCCAGCATCTATTGTTTCTTGACTTTTTAATAATTGCCATTCTGACTGACATGAGATAGTACATCATTGTGGTTTTGATTTGCATTTCTCTAATGATCAGTGATGTTGAGCTTTTTTCATATGTTTGTTGGACTTGTAAATGTCTTCTTTTCAGAAGTGTCTGTACATGTCGTTTGGTCACTTGTTGATGGGGTTGTTTGCTTTTTTCTTGTAAATTTGCTCAAGTTCCTTGTAAATTCTGGATATTAGACCTTTGTCAGCTGGCCAGATTGCAAAAGTTTTCTCCCATTCTATAGGTTGCCTGTTCAGTCTGATGATAGATTCTTTTGGTGTGCAGAAGCTCTTTAGTTTAATTAGATCTCATTTATCAATTTTGACTTTCACAGCAATTCATTTTTTTCATGAAGTCTCTGCGCATGCCTATGTCCTGAATAGTAGTGCCTAGGTTTTCTTCTAGGATTTAATGGTTTTGGGTTTTACATTTAAGTCTTTACTCCATCTCAAGTTAATTTTTGTATAAGGTGTAAAGGAGGGGTCCAGTTTCAGCTTTCTGCATATAACTGGCCAGCTATCCTAGCACCATTTATTGAAGAGGACATTCTGTCACCATTGCTTGTTTTTGTCAGGTTTGTCAAACATCAGGTGGCTGTAGATGTGTGGTGTTATTTCTGAGGTCTCGGTTCTGTTCCATTGGTCTATATATCTGTATTAGTACAAGTGCCATGCTGTTTTGGTTATTGTTTGAAGTCAGGTAGTATGATGCCTGTGGCTTTGTTCTTTTTGCTTGGGATTGTCTCTGCTATATGGGATCTTCTTTGATTTCATGTAAAGTTTAAAGTGTTTTTTCTAGTTGTATGAAGAATGTCAATGGTACTTTGATGGGAATAGCATTGAATCCGTAAATTACTTTCAGCAGTATGGCCATATTCACAATATTGATTCTTCCTATCCATGAGGATGGAATGTTTTTCCATTTGTTTGTATACTCTCTTATTTCTTTGAGCAGCGGTTGGTAGTTCTCCTTGAAGAGGTCCTTCACATCCTTTGATAGTTGTATTTCTAGGTATTTTATTCTTTTTGTAGTGATTGTGAATGGGAGTTCATTCATGATTTGGCTCTTTGCTTATCTATTGTTGGTGTAAAGGAATGTTTGTGATTTTTGCACATTGATTTTGTATCCTGAGACTTTGCTGAGTTGCTTATCAGTTTAAGGAGTTTTTAGACTGAGATGATGGGTTTTTCTAAATATTAAATCATGTTGTCTGCAACAGAGACAATTTGACCTCCTCTCTTCCTATTTGAATACCTTTATTTCTTTCTGTTGCCTGATTGCCCTGGCCAGAACTTCCAATACAATGTTGAAAAGGAGTTGTGAAAGACAGCATCCTTGTCTTGTACCAGTTTTCAAAGGGAATGTTTCCAGTTTTTGCCCATTCAATATGATACTGGCTGTGGGTTTGTCATAAATAGCTCTTGTTATTTTGAGATATGTTCCATTAATAGCTAGTTTATTGAGAGTTTTTAACAGGAAGTGATATTGAATTTTATCAAAGGCCTTTTCTGCATCTATTAAGATAATCATGTGATTTTTGTCTTTGGTTTTGCTTATGTATGAATTACATTTATTGATTTGTGTAGATTGAACCAGACTTGCATGCCAGGAAAGAAGCTGACTTGATAGTGGTGGGTAAGTTTTTTGATGTGCTGCTGGATTCAGTTTGCCAGTATTTAATTGAGGATTTTTACACTGATGTTCATCAGGGATATTGGCCTGAAGTTTTCTTTTTTTGTTGTGTCTCTGCCCAGTTTTGGTGTCAGGATGATGCTGGCTTCATAAAATGAGTTAAGGAGGAGTCCCTTCTTTTCAATTATTTGGAATAGTTTCAGAAGAAATGGTACCAACTCCTCCTTGTATCTCTGATAGGATTCAGCTGTGAATTCATCTGGTCTTGGGCTTTTTTTGGTTGGTAGGCTATTAATTACTGCCTCAATTTTAGAACTTGTTATTGGTCTATTCAGGGATTCAACTTTTTCCTGGTTTAGTCTTGGAAGGGTGTATATGTCCAGGAGTTTATCAAATTTCTTCTAGATTTTCTAGTTTATTTGCATAGAGGCGTTTTTAGTATTCTCTGATGGTAGTTTGTATTTCTGTGGGGTTAGTGTTGATAACCTTTTTATCATTTTTTATTGTGTCTATTTGATTATTCTCTCTTTTCCTCTTTATTAGTCTAGCTAGTGGTCCATCTATTTTGTTAATCTTTTCAAAAAACCAGCTCCTGGATTCATTGATTTTTTTTGGAGGGCTTTTGTGTCTCTATCTTCTTTAATTCTGCTCTGATCTTAGTTATTGCTTGTCTTCTGCTAGCTTTTTGATTAGTTTCCTCTTGTCTCACTAGCTCTTTAATTGTGATATTAGAGTATTGATTTGAGATCTCTCTAGCTTTCTAATATGGGTATTTAGTGCTATAAGTTTCCCTCTTAACACTGCTTTAGCTATGTCCCAGAGATTCTGGTACATTGACTCTTTGTTCTCATTAACTTCTTGATTTCTGCCTTAATTTCATTATTTACCCAGGAGTCATTCAGGAGCTGGTTGTTTAATTTCCATGTAGT